CAGAAATTAGGAAGAAATCCTTCTTTCATAAATCTTAGAACTTCTCAAGAACCACCATGTATTAAGCCAGTTTGTGATGACCTTTGCAAAGGCACTGATGAACGCATGCGTGATTTCTATGAAACACTGCAATGGGAATGCAGAACAGTGGCTGAGTTCATGCACAACAGAACTGAACTGCAAAAATGGCAAACTAGGTACATGAACTAAGGAAATGTTAAGAAAATCAGGTAGCTCTAAGGCAGCCAATCCATTTAGGCATTTTATCATGTGCCTTTTGCTGAGGAACAACATGGTCAAGCTATGTAACACAGGGAACTGCTTGAGCGAAGAACCAAAGAGGTCAAAGGAATTTAACTATGTGATCAGAGATCAAGAGTTGCAGGTGGCTGTCCCTCATGTTCCTTATGTCCCTCTTGTTCCTGACAGAAGATTAAGGCCAGGAAAAATTCCAGAGTGGAGAGAAACCTGAGGAAATGGGTATGGTTTTACACGATTTTCTAATTTTCAACAATAACAAACTACCCAGGATCAGAAGTAAAAATGCTTATGAATTTCTGTGTTTTCTTGAAAAAACAACAAATGCAAGGTTAGGAGTAATTTGGTTTTTTGCTGTATTTTGCTCAAGCAGCTCTGGAGTCTGACCCTTGTTTCACAAAAAAAAACCATAAAATCAATGCCTGGGAATTGTGTCTGTACTAAGAGCAGAGAACTGCTGTGTTGCTACAGATGGCACAGGACCATGGGCCCACAGAGTCTCTTTGAAGAAGTATGTCTTTAGTTCTGAATGATACACTAGCAGGAAGGGAAACTGAAGTAAGCCAAACTATACTTTTCTTTCAGAAATGTGGGAATATATTGCCAGCAACTGGGAATAGAATGCAAACTAGTACTCAGAGATACAAGCACTCTCATACCTTATCTGAGCACTTGTAATCCATTTTTATGTATTACGTGTAAGCATATTCCTTCCCAGCAACTAGCGTCCTCCATGTCAGATTTCACAATTTTTACTCACAACTCCTCTCACTTGTCATTTTACTACTACTGCAAAACAAAAAAAAAAACAACCCTCATAATGGTATCACTGGATGTGCGATCAAGTAAAACATTTACTCATGCACGTGGAAGAAACACTGTCCAGATCGGTTTATGCTGCCACCCAGGCAATCAGAGTGAGAGGATTACATTGCTAATTATACCTCTGAGGTGCTATTCTTACAGCATCAGGCTATGAAGACTGTCTCCCTCATGTATTTTGTGTTTCATCTTTCTTGCCTTACACATGTGGCTCCATGTATATTTCACATAAACTTACTGCTGAACACAAGAGATGGAAAAATATTTTCAAGCAATACATAATTGCAAATACTTCACATTTATTTTGTTTATGTTCTTTTGGGATTAATTACTCCAGGGATATGGTGCTCAGTTCCAGAGGTGCAGATCTCCTAAAAACATGGATCTAAGCAAAGCAAAGAGAGGGAGCTATGCAAATGGAAAACACTTAGATTGCCAATGTACTTAGTAACCTCTCTTTGTTAGTCTGTTGAAGAGGATGGTAACAGGCTGGTGGCAAGAGCAGCAACAGATGCATCTGAAAATTACTACCCAGTGTTTGGATGAAGCACGTGCCATATGCACGTCTGCCCTTTCCGCTCCAAAGGGAGCCGACCAAGCTGCATTTAACGATGGTGAGGGGTAGGTAAAACACGAAGCACGGCTGCGAAGGGGGCGCACTCCTCCCCCCGGCTGTCCCGCAGAGAGGCCGCGCTACCCTCACTCCTGGCCCTCACCTCCTTTCCCGCAGCCCCGCTGAAGGTGTGAAGTACCAGAAAGGAGGCGCTGCGTTACCTCACGGTCCTGCTCTGGAGCCTGCTAGTGCCGGGGCAGGGCCGCTCCCACCCCTCGGAACCCAGACATCGCGGGGGCAGAGGGAGTCTCTGTGGTGGTAATTCTCAACCGAGGGCCTCCGCTCCGCGTGTCGCCGAGGCAGCAGTCAGGGACTGCCGCAGCACTCGCGGCCGCCAGCTAACGGGATGCGCTTTAAGTCTGCTCTGTCCGTGCTGTACTCGCTTACCGCGAGCAGGACGGGAATAGGCAGCGCCGGGGAGCCGCTCGCCCCACGCCTGGGGCTGAGGGAGCACCCGGGTGCCGGGGGTTGACATGGCCGCTGCCCGCGAAGGGGCCGCGCTGCCATGGCGACGGGGGTGGGCCCCGGAGGAACGGTGGGAGCGGAGAGGAGCGGGGCGGGGCGGGGTGGGCCGGGCCGGGACCGGGGGACGCGCGGGGCGGTGCTCCCCGCCGCGGGTACGGCGTCGGACCCACCTGGCTCCCGCCGCGGCGGGCCGCTGCTCTGCCGGCCGGCATGGGGAGAGGCGGTCCTGGGGCTGGCGCATGCGCCGCTGTGCGGAGCTACCCGCGGGGTCTGCCGGCCCAGGTCTCACCTTGCGCTTCCGCGGGCGGCCGCGTCCTCGGCGGCGCTGTGCGGGAGGCGGCGAGGCGCGGAGCCGGGCAGGAGCGGTGGCGGGAGGAGAGCGGGTTACCTCACGGGTGAGGCCGCGTTACCGAAGATCACTCCTTTGACCCCAAGTCAGAGACACGCGGCCGAGGCCGGCCCGGGCTGGGCAGGAGCCAGGCCTCGGGCCTCCTGCGGCTGCCGCGCACCGCGATGTACACAAAGCAGTGAATAACCACGGTTCGATGTCTCTGGCATCAGTGTGAGGCACTGATTCTTGTTAGTAGTTAAAACTTGGGAATTTAATTGAACAGCTTAGGCAGAAGCTCTTCCCTGTGAGGGTGCTGAGGCGCTGGCACAGGGTGCCCAGAGGAGCTGTGGCTGCCCCATCCCTGGCAGTGTTCAAGGCCAGGCTGGACACAGGGGTTGAAGCAACCTGCTCTAGTGGAAGGTGTCCCTGCCCATGGCAGGGGTTGGAAGTGAAATCCACTGGGTTTTCATGGTGGTGGTATGGAGATGCCACACCGACATTGGTTAAAGGGTATGTTTAGCAGGCACAAAAGGTACTTGGCAGTTGGACACAAAGTAGAATAGTATTGTACTGGTTTATTTTAACACTAGAGTTGAGTGCGCAGTTCCTGATCAAAGAAAATAAGAGGTGTAAACCTCTGTGATGTGTTAGCATGCGAGGCCGGAACATCTGTCTGTTTATGGAGTGAGTGTCCTTTTAACACACTTGTGAAGTTGTGGCTTTCAAGATACTTGCAGACTTTTGGCAGTATTATGTGTCTGTCTCATTAGCCATATTAGTGCATTAGCTGGTAGAATTAGTGCCTCTAGTACATCATATAAATTATATAAACAGTAGCAGTGTTGACGTAGTTTTTACTTAGGCTTTTAAAAAGTAAAAACAGTGGAAGTGCAGAAGAGGTCTCTGTCACTCCTTTCTGCTAAGCTAAAGGAGCTGTCAGCGTGGGAGATGCAGGACTTGCTTCTTGAAACGTGTCAGTGCTATTACTATTGAAGCATCTCAAACATGTCTTGTTTTTTTGACAGCATTAGCACGCCACGTTTCTTCCTGCAGCTGTGTTTCTGAACAAGCAAAAATACCAGCTGTGGGAATCTCACCTCTCTCTTGCCCTAACAGACCCGAATGCAGTTTCCTTCCCCTGTGTGCCAGTCAGAAACTGGTGCTGGAGTTTACAAGCTTCATTTTTTAAATTAGCTACAGGGCACACGTTTAGTGTTCGGTCCTGCTGAGTGTGATTTGTGCCTTTGCCATCAATTACACTCCTTGTGTGTAATTCTGAGCAATGAGCGATCCTCATTGCTGGCTTGAGGCTGGAATGCTGAGCACGGCTGTGCACAGGCCATGTGATAATCTGTTCCCAGGATTTGTGTTTATCATTACAGAATTAGGTGAATAAACAAACCTGCTGCATACTTCAGAAAGGAGTTACAAAGTTCATAAAATTCGTAGAAGAAAGCATATAGTTTTCTTTGTTTTGTATAAAAATGCAACCACAGAGGCATACTGCATGTTTGAAAATGAGTGCTGGCTTTGCTCCTTGCTGTCTGGAATGAGGATAAAGATGAGGTTTTCACCACACTGTGCCCTTGATCTGGCTCATGGTGCAGCTACACCTCTACCTGCACCAGCTGAGTGCAGGTTGAGCCAGGAAGGGCCCCTCAGGACTGTGGCACAGGGAAATCCGTGTTGCAGGGATGTTCAGAAATTCATCTTCTGCCAGGCACAGGGTTTTTTCTAGGTCAGAGAACGAACCAGAACCAGCAGAAAACTCACTGAGCTTGAACATGGGATACAGGCTCCTGGATACAGCCAGAAAAAGGTTGGTTGTGCTTGGAGCAACTCAACAGAATCTAAGGGCTGAAATGGAGAAAAAGGAAACTTTTTCTGGGAAGAAGTGTGAATTCAGGTTCAGTGGAAATCCTGGGAACGTAATGAGATTCTCTAATACTGTTCGGACCTAATGCAAATGGTGGAACTCCACTGAAGCTGAACCTGCCTCCCTCAGATCTGAGTTCTGCCGTTTAGATCTTACAAAGCTTGCCTGCCTGGAGCTTATTTTAGATCACCACATGCCACCTTGTGGCAAATTAACATGATTCATCTGTTCTTTTTCCAACTCTAAACCACTGCTTTTCTCTGTTAAGGTTCTGCCCTCGTTTTACATTCTTTGGATTGATGTCGAGGCAAGATGGGTTTCATCTCCAGAGTTCCTGCCCTTCATCTTGGTAGTTCTGCGAAGCTTGGAACCACCTGTTCAACGTGGTAGTATTTTGTAGTATGAGGTTAGGCCAAAATAAAGTGTGCTTCTCAGCAAGATGTTCTGAGTGCTTCCCAGAAACCTTGCTATTCAAAGCTCACAGCTAGCTGAAAAATAAGTACATGGGGATAATCCAAAGAGTTATTGGAAAGAATACGGAGTGTTTACCTTCAACCTTCTATCTTTTTTTCTGCATCCAGGTTGTCTGTGGCCCTTACCTCTTTTGCTAAGTATTGGATTTAAATGCTTTATTCCTCTTTTTATCTCCTGACATCCCACTTGCTCACTAGAGATAGCAGTGTTATTTTCCAGCATAAGCACAGCCTTTACAAAGATGTTTCAGGTTTTTACTACAAGCCTTTCATTTGCACTGTTTATGAAGGCATATCATATATTGTAAAATGTCTGTCTTGTTTGCTGGGAGCATCAGTGTGATGGGAAAGAAACAAAAGACTACAAGGGATAACCAGCAGATGTAATGAAACAATGCCAACAGCAAGAGAAAAGAGGCTGTTTCTGGGGCTAGGAAAGTCCTCAATGGAATGTGGTCATGCTATTATGAGTTTGGAGAGTGGATCCTAAATACAAACAAGTTTGTGTGCACATTCACTGGAGCTGGTGGATCTTTTAGATGCTGAGTATTGTGCTGGAACTCATTCACCTCTTTAACTTTCCACCTTTTCCTGGAAAAATCAAGTAATGCCCATGGCTGCGAGGTTTCCAAGATGTGTTGCCTGGACAGTGTGTTGGTGGCACCTCCTGCTCACCCCTGCTGTGCTCTGGCATACAACAATGTGAGGATGGAGACCCCTCACTGCGAACTGGACTTTGTTTCAGGGCAGGACAAGTGCAGCAGATACAATTCTGCTGCATGTTGTGACCAGTTCATGTCCTTTTATTTGGTTTTTTGTGTATCTGGTTCCTGTTTTTTCTAGAAAGGCAAGTGTTTCTCAGTCACAGTTACCAGTCTTCTCCCTATTGCATAGAGGTTTCTTGCTCTTACTGCTTTTATTATTATTGTTGTTTTCATGGGGCTTTGTGTTGCATTTCCTTAATCTTTTGGGGTTTTGAGTGCTTCACATTTGTTAGCTTCAAGACCTTAAAACTGTGCTTTGGCCTTTATCGAGCTGATAGCCTGATAAGTCAAGTGCGAAGTTGTTTAGAGTAAGATTGTTGTCACAAAGAGTAGTTGTCCTGTAGTTTACCTTAGCCACACTTTTCATTAAAGAATTTCTTTTTAATAATTACTGTGCCTCAGCAGAGAGCTAATAATCACCTCCTGTTTTACAGGAGCACAGGGGAAAGGCCTGAGTGTCTGGGGCTTTCAGTGGCTGTACTTTAAAATCATGATTAAGAAACTTGATAGTCACAGTCTACAGCTTTGACTCTGGTGAGTTCTTTCACAGATCAGGGAATACAGGAGCTTTGAGACCCTCTCCTCTCCTCTGTGTGTAGTGCGTGTTCTCCTTCCAGAAAGGTGTTATAGAAATAACATTGTGGTAGGTAAAGGTGTAAGTGGCTGCATTTATTTCAGTTCTCTGCTTTCATCATCCTCCTTTGTGTAACCATTTTACTTTCTAAGGCAGATGCTTACATATTTTTCATTCTATAAAGCCTGTAATGGTTGAAGTTACACGCAGCTCTAGAGCTGCAAATTAATATGAGCCACAATCGGGGAAAATAAATTTCCACAGGATAACATAGCAGCTGTAAGTTTGCAGGGAGCTAATTTAAACCATACACTCTTACCAGTCTGCCTTGAGCATTAGTAAGAAATATCTGAAGTGAGATGTGGTTCATTCTGGTTGTAATTCTAGTGGTAATTTTTTCAGTGGTTAAAACTTATCAGTCTACGGTTTTTCTCTTTTTTGTTTTTGGTTTGGTTTTTTGTTTGTTTCCATATCATAAGTCTACAATTGAAGGGGATTTTCAGCGTTTTCTGTATTAGGCTGGACTGATGTTTCTGACCTAGAGGTAGTAAATGCCAGCTCCCCTGTGATGCTGAGTACAAATTCAGAATCATATCTGTACAAAATAGTGAACTCAATGGCTGCTAAGGCCAATTGCATGCAGCTAATTTTCTGTCAGAATGGATATTGTCTGTATCTCAGATTGAAAACAATTATTAACTAAATAGTAGTTCTCTTACCATCACACGAGAACATGAAGAATGGAATAGCTGCTTCCCAAGGGAGATGCTGAAAGAAGGAGGACTGAAGTAGTGAGTTTGGCTTTTGGGTTGGGTTTGGGTTTTGTTTGTTTTTTGTTTTGGGTTTTTTGGGTTTTTTTTTTTTTTTTTTTGTTGGGACAGAAAGAACAAGGACGGAGAAGTATGAATTAATTTTAACAAAACACCTGAAATGGCCATGAAGCAGAGTCAGGCTGTGTGAATCCCGTGGTTGCTAAATCAGAATGACCTGCCACACGATTGCTATAGGGTGAAGGCAGAAAATGTAGATCAGGAAAAGTGAGCTGCAGAAGTGAAGTCATGTGGTTTCTGACCATTAAAGCACTGAACAAAACCCAAAGAGACAGTGGATGGGTTAGACTTTGACACAGACTTGCAAGTATTCATAGGAATTCATTGCTACGCCTGCAGCTGGTGTCTAGAGGTAAGGGGACAGCTTTTGGTAGGTATGGAAATACTGCTGGAGAGCTGCATCACAAATTGCCTCAGAAGCAGGGTTGTTCCAGCCTCAGCATCACAAATTGCTTCAGAAGCAGGGTTGTTCCAGTCTCAGCATCACAAATTGCTTCAGAAGCAGGGTTGTTCCAGCCTCAGCATCACAAATTGCCTCAGAAGCAGGGTTGTTCCAGCCTCAGCATCACAAATTGCCTCAGAAGCAGGGTTGTTCCAGCCTCAGCTGCCTGGTATTTTACATGATATGTTTTGTTAGGATTTTCATTAAGTCCTATCCAAGTCTCTGAATAAACCCTCCCTAGAAGAGGAAACTATATGGTTGTGAAGGGGGTAATGAGACAGATTCTTCATCCCTCAGATTCTTCATCCCTCTTACACTGTTTACCATGCAAGAACAGGAGTAGAACAGGACGTGGTCTAGCTCAGTGCCATCGATATTGCCATCGTATCTTAAAGCTGGTCTGCGTTCATCTGGTTTCCACAAGACTGTTCTACAAATAACAGTCAAACATACTTACTGTAATTCTGTCTTTCTTGGCATAAGGGGGGGTGGGGGATTTTGTGAGCTTTATGCTCCTCAAAAACCCATCAAGAACCATTAGGCAAGGGGTCAATTTACTTCAAGCTCACAGCATCCTCGGGGTGCTGCAAGACTCCGTAAGACCATCAGAGAACAAAGACTAGGCACATACATTGTACAATATCCTCATTTAACAGAGCATCAGATCCTGCATGAAGGCAGGACATTCAGAAAGGTGTATCTGAAATACAGCTTCACCTTTTGAGAGGAAAAGAGGTTACCTCAGCGCACTTAGCAGAAATTGTTTAGGCTGTGGTCTTGTCTACCATCCATGAACATTTGTGTCAGTAAAAGCACATTTGGACACTGTCTGCCCAGAGTTTAAACTGACAAGCATTCGTGCTGGAGCAGCATGGACACTTGGTTCTGCAAGGACATAAGCAACATCATATGATGAACCTGCTTTGCTACAACTAACTGTAAGTGGCTTTTCTGATCCCACAAAGTTGAGTTATTTTGTTTTTTATAAGAAATAGGGTGCTTTAAAATTGTGATTGAACTCAAGGAAACTGCATTTGATTTGTGGATATTATGGAAGCAATAAAAAAGAGTTTTAAAAAAAAATCAGTTTTCTGGAGATCATTTGTTCAGCTCTACTATTAATACTGTTTTGTTTGCCAGACTATGATCAAAAACATTTGGCAGGCAAGACTTGCTCAGGAAAGTGAGCCAGTAGAGTTGAGCTGTCATCCAAGTACGTACAGAAAAACTGTTCTCTTGGCATGGAAAACAGACTGTTTACAGAAATAATAAACATGCCCTCTAAAATTATGTTCCTTCTCTCTAAAATCATGGAAGGTCGCAAGACTTTGACCCTACAGAAGGAGCATAACACTTTATGAGACTTCTGTCAAAGCACATGATAAAAAATAAATACACTGTAATAAAGAAGTGTCAGTCTGATGGCTCAAATGTGCCTTCCTAACATATCCTGTCTCCCTTCTTTCAGATGTGGTATGCACACTGCCACGCAAAGGAAGCCCATCTGGAGGGGATATCAAATCAATCCATTTTCTTGACGTATCGGTTGATGTAATTAACTTTTGTTTCATCTCCCAAGTAAACCTTGTAAACAATAAAACGTGTCAAAGTGAAATACAATTTATTGAAAAGTGTAATTTGCCAAAGTCCTTATGGTGATTCAGCTGCTGGATAGAGCCCCAGATGCTGAGTATCCATGAGGAATAAGAGCCTGATCTGGCCAAGACTTGTTTTTTCCCTGAGTCCTGACGATAGATGAGTGAGCTATAAGCAGGGTAGGAGGTAGTGGCTGGCTACCTCAGCAGCTGCCTGCAGCTGGAGGAGGAGTGTGTTCACCACTGTTGCCAACATACCTGGAGGGTGATAATCTCACCTTGTTAGTTCCTCAGGATTTCCAGGTTTATTCCTTATTTGGGTTCCTCCTTTCTCCCCTGTAAAGCTGTTCACTTAAATGCTGCTGTGTAAACTCCAGGCATGGGAGTGACAAATATCACTCATTCTTGAGTAAAATAGCGCAGCTTTTTAGTATCATTTGAACATCTTTGATGGAGACCCTCAGCCCACGTTCATGGTCTCCTTGGTGCAAAGCAGACAGAACAGGCTGACAGAAAGGTTGTGGTTATACTGGCCATAAACTAAAATGTTTTGCAGGCGTTTCCCTGCAAAACTGTCTGGGGCAGTCTAGCATCAGGTAGTATTTACAGATGAGAACTGAGATGAGGGAACTGCAAGACTTCTTGACTTGATACATGCTACTCTTCAGCTGCCTGCAAGTAAAAGTGTTTCTAAATCTCATTGCACTGCAGCATCTCTGACTGGGATCTGCTAGTCTTAGAATCAACCTGCTAGAATCAACCAGGTTGGAAAAGACCTTTAAAATCATCAGGTCCAGTCATTACTCCAGGATTGCTAAGTTATGGGTGTCCCTGCTAAGGGGAGACAGAGCCTAGCATTCAAAATGACAGTGTTTGAGTTCTAGGAGGACAGTTACCCGAGTTAACAGGTTGCACATGAGAATCTCCACTGACTACATAGGGAACCAAGGAAACCAGTGTTAGTAGGTTAATCTTTATTAATAGATCCTTTCCTCCTTCCCCTAATTACTGGCACAGCTATTTCCTTATGTTCTTCCCAGATGCCTCTCCTGGTTTTCACTCACACACTGCCCGCTGCTTGCACAGACACAGCAAAGGGGCTCTGATCTCACAGCTCAGGCACAGTAGCAGCAGCTCTCCTTACCTGCATGGAGTTCTGCATGGCCTGCAAGCTGGAGAGACTCAGCATTGCATCTAGGCCTGCCTGTAGCTCCATGCTGTCACAGGTATTTTGGGGTCTCACTGAGCAAGGTCAAGAAGCTACAACACTAGTTTTGAGGGCAGTTCATTATAAGACTGACACTATTCTATTCTGTGTCAAACAGCCATTAGCCCTTCCTCTGGCATCCCTGTAGTTCCAAGGAAGCGGAAGGGTATCCCTGCTGCCTTCTTTACCCCAGTTGCCAAAGTCTTTTCATGCACAGCAGAAAACTAGACAGATAATCCCTCCTTTGGAACTTCACCAGTGCAGCTTATACATGTGCAGAATATAAAAGATATTTAAATGTGAGCTCTCAGCTTGCTGATGGTGAGTGTGTGAGTATTTGGCTTTGGGTCCATCTGCGCCCTGCCCTACAAAACAGTTTAATCCAGAAAGAAAAAGAAAAGAATAACAGAAATCTTCATTTGCTGGTAGTTTAGATTGTTTAGATATAACTCACAACTGTAAAACATAAGAATTGCATTTAATAGTTAATAAATTATACAGCACACAGCATGTATTGTAATCTGTACTGCACATAATCTGTATGAAGTATTAACACCAATGTCTAAACAAAATATAAAGTCACTGTAGGCAATCTTAAAGCTCAGCTGTACAGTTTTTCTGAACTATTTTGGCTGTAGATGTGATATTTCACCCCTTTACCATCATATGGTATTAATTCAATTGTTTTATATGTTATACATGCGTAAGAACTAGAAGGGATTTCCTTAAACAACAAACACTGAGGATAAAAAGGTTGGTGTTTATAAAAATGTCAAGCTCAAAGGCTCTTCCATAACTTGTTAGAGGATTGCTATCATTTAGGACTCAAAAGCCAGTCATTCAAAAAGTCCTCCAGAGAGAAAAGCTAATCCTGAGTTTCCACTCATGAGTTACCAGTCTGGTCCCTCAGCAGAGCATCACCAGCAAGCGTGCTGAAAGAAGATCAGAGAAATTTGGACATAGTTTAAAAGACCCAAAAAGGGCTGTAGGACGATTCACTTCTACAGCACTTAGTCCTGGGTTTCTCTCCTGTTTGGTTTGTGCTGAGCAGCTTGGTGTGAGCAGCCTAGAGTACAGTGCAGCTGATGTTCATGCAATGCTCTGTTGCTGTGGGGTGTTGGAAGGGGAATTCTGTCCTTCAGCTGAGCTGTTGCTCTTCCAAAGGCAGGGTGGCAGGGGTGACATCATGAAAAGACATAGGGTTGTCGTATGTCTCTACCATTAATCTTAGCTCACTGTATGTGCTGGAAGGCATTGCTCAGTCACAGGATGAGATGTGGGAGCTTTCAGGGTCGTTGGGCACAGTCTCCGTGACTGAGCAGGAGTGTGCAGGTACTTACATGCTGTGTCTCAAAGGCTGTTGATGACCCACAGGAGCCAGTGCCTTGGCTGTTGGATGTGCTGATGCATTGGTATTGCCAGTTACATGCAAAACCTTCTTGGCAATAATGATTCGTATTATTTACTGTCATTGTTAAAATCACAGCTTTTCTGTACTCATGTTGCCATTCATTGAAATACGTTAAGTGGAACTTTACCTTTCTGTATCAAAATCCTGTGATATAACGAAAAAAAAAACATTAGCTGGAACTTTATTTGTGATGTAAGGGGAATAAACATGGTCTGAATCTGATTCTTCTGAGTAAGCAAAGGGCTCTTGTTAAAACTAATGGACAGATTTGCATTAATAGTACTGTACTGCTGAATCTGTCTTTAATACTGAGTGTCTGCACTTGTTTCCTGTTGATGCTGGTGTTTGATGCTGTGGCCTAAGAAACAAGCACCAGCAGCTGGGAGGCTGTAGGCTACTCTGGCTCTCCAGAAGTGTACCAGTGTGTAAAAAAAGGCAGTAGAAATGGGGACAAAAAGGGCCTGCTGCTGCCCTGCTGTGTGGCTTTGAGGCCAAACCTTCAGCAGCTGTTGTTGCTGCGCTCACTTTGCTGGCAAAAGGCTGTCACTTCAGGTTTGCTCTTCCATGAATCCCCCTATTACACTAATATTTAGTCACTAAAGGCTAAGCCAGTCCCTCTTTCTTTTGTCCTCTGTGACGTGGGTTAGTGGTGGACTTGGCTGTGCTGGTGGAACGGTTGGACTCGATGATCTCAAAGTTGTTTCTGTGATTCTATGAATATTCTCTCTATTCTACAGCTTCCTTTGCAGATGTTTCCGTTGCAGGGTGAGTGATTGTTCACAGCTTGTGCATAACAGAACGCACTAACCCGGAGCTCGGCCGCCCGGCTCCCGGGCTGCAGGGGCGAGGCTGCGGTGGGAGCCGGGTCTTCCCGGAGCCGGACGGCCCCGGAGCCAGCGCAGAGCCCTGGGACGGTCCCGCGATGACGCCGGTGCCGGCAGAGGGCCCCCGCGCCCCGGCTGCTCCCGCCGGGTGTCTGGAGCAGCCGCCCGCCCGGCCCCGGGAACATGAAAACGCTGCAGGAGGAGCCGAGCTGCGCCCACCCGCCGGGACCTCGGGCGGTCTGCATACAGGTAGTTCCCTTTGCATGAATGATGAAAATCTCTTAAAATCTCAGCCTTCGAGGGGAGTTTTCTGTGTAAAGATTGGTCTCTATTAACATGGCTTCTTTTAAAGTTTTTCATTAAGGTATGACCTTCCTAATACCTTGCTTCATTCTAAATTAGACTGGTCCGTGAATAGCAGTAAGAAAACCATATTGAACTCTAATATCTGAAGGGGGCTACAAGAATGAGGGACTCTTCATCAAGGACTGTAGCGATAGGACAAGGGGTGATGGGTTTAAACTGAAACAGGGGAAGTTCAGGTTAGATAGAAAGAAGAAGCTCTTCCCTGTGAGGGTGGTGAGGCACTGGCACAGTTTGCCCAGAGAAGCTGTGGCTGCCCCGAGGCCAGGTTGGACACAGGGGCATGGAGCAATCTTCCCTAGTGAAAGGTGTCCCTGCCCATGGCAGGGGGTTGGGACTGGATGAGCTTTAAGGTCCTTTCCAACCCAGACCATTCCGTGATTCTATGATTCTATGAAATGGGATACAGGAGGCAGAAGTTGATGACTGTAGAAAAAATGTCCCTTTCCCTCTTCCATCTCAGGCTTAGGTGAACGCATAGGACAGATTTTTCATAGACATAAGTATCACAGTGCAGTGTGTCTGTGTTCAAGGACAGCCAATGGTGTGAGCTGGGGAGGGTCACTGCAGGGCGCAGGACCCGAGCTGGAGTCTTGATTTCACTTGCAGTGATCTGTGTCCTGGGTTGGTTTCAGAGCAGAGTACACTAAGCAAAGCCCTGACCTGAGGAGTTATACAGAGGATGCTCAGGATCTTCACACAGGTTGGAGCTCAGCATCAGGGGTGTTCTCCTGGGTGTTAGGGAGCTCCCTGCAGTAAGAAATGGCCTGAAAACCAGGCTGTGAGCCCAAGTGCATACACCTGCAAACCAGTGCTACTGCCTTCCTGTCAGCTCCCATGAAAATCGGGTTCCCTCAAACCCAGATCCTGCTCTCATGGAACCAGGGACAGCTGCCCCCAGTGCCAGCTGGTTCAGGACCAAACCTGGGGGCTCCGTTTGGTTAAATTCAGCACATCAGCACCAGGCATCCGTGTTTCTTTATGGCTCCCCACTCAGATGAACTGAGGAGAGCAGGTCCCTGCCCCATCACCTGCATCCGTCACACTGAGCACAAGTACCGTTATTGAATGTTTAACCTCATCTACTAGGTTACAACTAAGAGTCCTACAACGGGGTTTTAAGAATCCATTGAATCTCACCCATACTATGGAGATTAAAACTGGTAAAGAGTCCTAGGAACACAAACAGCATACAGAAATCCTCATCTGCGTGGTGCACT